ACCAGAGAACCACATTTAAAACATCAAATGTCAAAGTGGTCCAAGTTAACAGGATTCTTGTGGGAGATTACAAGGGGCTTTCCTAGCATTGCTTTTCTCAAGCCCCGCCTCCCCCCAAAGCAGAGCAGCGGGGGCAGGAACCTACTCGAGACGGCTTCCTGGCAGACGTAGCCGCAGTCTCCCGGGCAGCACTTCTGGGTGCCTGGGCACTGAGAATCGTTGGCGCAGGCGGAGCAGGATTTGTTCTTGAGGCAGGCGCTGCAGTCCTTCTCGTCAAAGACGTCCCCCAAAGGTGCCACGTGGTAGCAGTACCCTTCCTTGGCTGCAAGGCAAGGGGAACAGCTTTCATATTTCTTTATTCCATTGGACTTGTAGCCCTCCCTCCCTGTAAACGGGCTCCGGGTGGGTAGCACCATAGAAGCATTATATACAATCTCAAACATTCATAAATTTAAATATAATGCATACAATAAAATAAGAACATAAGAGAGAAGCCAGTGTTGGATCAGGCCAATGGCCCATCTAGTCCAACACTCTTCTGTGTCACACAGTGGCCAAAAACACCAGGTGCCATCAGGAGGTCCAGCAGTTGGGCCAGGACACTAGAAGCCCTCCCACTGCTGCCCCCCCCAAGCACCAAGAAGACAGAGCATCCCTTGCCCCAGACCGAGAGTTCCTATCTAGACCTTATGGCCAATAGCCACTGATGGACCTCTGCTCTTAATGTAAGAACATAAGAGAAGCCCATGTTGGATCAGGCCAATGGCCCATCTAGTCCAACACTCTGTGTCACACGGTGGCCAAAAATTTCAGGGGCCACCAGGAGGTCCAGCAGTGGGGCCAGAACACTAGAAGCCCTCCCACTGTTGCCTTCCCCCAAGCACCAAGAAGACAGTGCATCCCTTGCCCCAGACCAAGAGTTCCTATCTAGACCTTGTGGCTAATAGCCACTGATGGACCTCTGCTCTTAACGTAAGAACATAAGAGAAGCCCATGTTGGATCAGGCCAATGGCCCATCCTGTCCAACACTGTGTCACATAGTGGCCAAAAATACCAGGTGCCCTCAGGAGGTCCACCAGTGGGGCCAGGACATTAGAAGCCCTCCCACTGTTGCCCCCCCCCAAGCACCAAGAAGACAGATCATCACTTGCCCCAGAGTCCCTATCTATACCTTGCGGCTAAGAGCCACTGATGGACCTCTGTTCCATATGTTTATCTAGTTCTCTCTTATAAGAACATAAGAGAAGCCAATGTTGGATCAGGCCAGTGGCCCCTCCAGTCCAACACTCTGTGTCACACAGTGACCAAAAATACCAGGGGCCATCCAGCAGTGGGGCCAGGACACTAGAAGACCTACAATCACCTATTGCCGAATCAGTGGTGTCAGTCCTTAGGGGGAGATAGCTATAGGGTTGCCAGGTCTGGATTGGGAAGTACCCGGAGACTTTGGGGGTGGATCCGGGAGAGGGTGGGGCTTGGGGAGGGGCCTCAGCATGGTGCGATGCCATAGAGCCCGCCCTTCAAAGCAGCCATTTTCTCCAGGGGAGCTGATCTCCATCAACAGGAGATCAGTTGTAAAAGTGGGAGATCCCCAAGACCCCCCTGGACTCTGGCAACCCTAGATATCTAGTATGTCTCGTAAGAAGGAGGCGGAGGAGAGAAGGGAGAAGGCAGAGGAGGAGGAGGAGGCCAATCCTGATGGGCAAACGAAAGGGGAAAGGGGGGAATGTCGCTGTCGCACATATCTGAGGGACCGCCTCTTCCCAGACATGCCCCGAAGAGCATTACACTCTATGGACCAACATCTCCTGGTTCTCCCCGGCCCAAAGGATGTCCGTCTTGCCTCGACCAGGGCCAGGGCTTCTTCTGCCCTGGCTCCCGTCTGGTGGAACACGCTCCGAATTTAGATCAGGGCCCTGCGGGATCTTCTTCAATTCCGCAGGGCCTGCAAGATGGAGCTCTTCCGGCACGCCTTTGGCTGAGGCAGCAGACATCTCTATATGGCCTCCCTGAGGTAGTTGACACCAGTGTTCTATCTAAACTGAGTTAGTGTGAGTTAGCTCACAGTTTTTTAGCCTCCAGGTCACACATTTTTATCTTAGCTCAGGAAGGATGGCTCCTGAGCAATGTTCCCTCTAACCTGAGTGTGAGCTAGCTCACAGTTTTTAGCCTCCAATTTACACATTTTTGTCTCAGCTCAGGAAGGATGGCTCCAGACCAAAGTAATTGATGCCATAGCCAAAAATGGCTCGCTCACAACTTTAATGCCAGTAGCTCACGAAGTAGCATTTTTGCTCACAAGACTCCACAGCTTAGAGAGAACATCGGTTGTCACCTATCCATCTATATTAGCCCAAACAATACGCTAAAGAACCGTACAACCAGTGGTTGTCAGAAGTGTGAGTGAGTGTTAGTGTTCATTATTGTTTGAATTCCTAACTTGTTTAATTTTAATTGTATTTATTGTACTGTTTTTATGATGTGACCCGCCCGAAGCCCGCTCGCGGGATGGGTGGGCTATAAATACAGATAATAAATAAATAAATAAATAAATAAATAAATAAATAAATAAATAGGCCCAGTGGAACAACTCTGTTTTACAGGCCCTGCGGAATTCCACCAAGTCCTGCAGGGCCCAGATCTCACTTGGAAAAAGAAGAAGAAGAGATTGGATTTATACCCCGCCCTTCACTCTGCGTCTCAGAGCGGCTTACAAACTCCTTTCCCTCCCCCTCCCCACAACAGACACCCTGTGAGGGAGGTGGGGCTGAGAGAGCTCTGACAGAAATGGCTCTTTTTCAGGGACAGGTCTTGTCAGAACTACGGCTTGCCCAGGGTCATCCAGCCAGGTGCAAGTGGAGGAGGAGTGGGGGAATCAAACCCGGTTCTCCCAGATTAGAGTCCGCACACTTAACCACTGCACCAAACTGGCTCAGGAGTGTTCCACCAGGCCGGGGCCAGGGGTGAAAAGGCTGGGTCCGGGGATCACCAGCAGGTTTAGATCACTTGAGCGTGAAGCTCTTTGGGAAGATATACCAGGAGGGGTGGTCCCAGCAATGCTTGAAGCGCCCAGCAGGGGGCTGAACAGTGGCTGTCTTCAGGGCTCAGCTCCCCAAATGAGAAGGGCCGGGCTAGGCTAGGCTGGGCCCAGAGCCCCTCCCCATAAACCGAGGGGGCTGTGATCAGCGTTCCCTCTAAGCTGAGTTAGTGTGAGCTGGCTCACCCTTTTTTGTCTTAGCTCAGGAAGAATGGCTCCAGAGAAGAAGAAGAAGAAGAAGAAAGAAGAAGAAGAAGAAGAAGAAGAAGAAGAAGAAGAAGAAGAAGAAGAAGAAGAAGAAGAAGAAGAAGAAGAAGAAGAAGAAGAAGAAGAGGAGGAGGAGGAGGAGGAGGAGGAGGAGGAGGAGATTGGATTTATACCCCGCCCTTCACTACCCAAAGGTGTCTCAGAGTGGCTTACAGACTCTTTTCCCTTCTCCTCCCCACAACAGACACCCTGTGAGGTAGGCGGGGCTGAGAGCGCTCTTTACAGAAACTGCTCTTTTTTCAAGAACAGCTCTTATCAGAACTATGGCTTCCCCAAGGTCATCCAGCCAGGTGCAAGTGGAGGAGGAGTGGGGAATCAAACCCGGTTCTCCCAGATTAGAGTCCACCCACTTAACCACTACACCAAACTGGCAAACTAGCAAAGTAGTTTACGCAGTAGCCAAATGGCTCGCTCACAACTTTAACACCAGTAGCTCACAAAGTGGAATCTTTGCTCACAAGACTCCACAGCTTAGAGGGAGCATTGGCTGTGACAGACCACCAGGGTGTGGTGTAGTATCTGCAGTGGGACCACGAAGATGGGCACGGAGCCGTTCCACTTGGATTTCCCACCGCTCATTGTAGCTTCAAGAAAGTAGATGATTTATACATGAAAAGGCACAGAAGGAAAGGCCTAACACACACACACACCCCCACGCAGTCTTCAAAGCAGGCATGTAGCTCTTTTAATTGGGGTTTGTTTTTGTGGTTTAATTGCAGGCGATTCAGCCAATCGTGTCTCGTTGGAGCCTCACTGGGTGACTTCTCCCAGCCAGCAACCTGCCCGGCTCACCCAAAAAAATCCCCTGCCTCAAGCGACTGCACAGCATGTCGGTGGCCCAAGAGTTCCTCGCAACTCTGCAAAGGAGGCGGGGGAGAGGGCAGGGTTGCCAGCTCCAGGTGGGGAAATCCCTGGAGATTTGAGGGTAGAGGCGTAGGGGAGGGAGGGAGCTCAACGGGTTATAATGCCATCGAGTCCGTTTCCTCTACAGGACTTGATCTCTGCAGTCTGGAGATCAACCCTCATTCCATTAGAGCTGCAGGGCCCCCCTGGAAGTTGGCAACACTAGGCGAGGGGGCTACCTGGACCCAATGTAAGAGTTCTTCCCCAGCGCCCCTTCCTCGGCAGTGCTGCAGAGGGTCCCGGGGTCCGCCCCCTAACCTCACGCCACTTCACTGGCGACCCACGCTCCCTCTCAGCTGTGGAGCCTTGTGAGCAAAAATTCTACCTTGTGAGCGACTGGCATTAAAGCGGTGAGCCAGCGATTTGGCTGCTGCGTAAATCAGTGTGCTCTGGAGCTATCCTTCCTGAGACAGAAATGAGTGAACCGGAGGCTAACGCACTGTGAGCTCACTCACACTCACTCAGCTTGGAGGGGACACTGCTCGCAGCCTTGGAAGTGGAACCTCCCCAGACGGGCTGCCAGAGCAGGCTAGCTTTGCCCGCCCGAGAAACCCTGGTGGCAGGGAGGTCCGCGCAGCCATTCCCCAGGCAGGCACCTTCAGTCTGCTGTTCTCTCACAGACATGGGCACAGCTGGGAAGCCCTTTCTCTCCTGTGCCCCCACCACGACCCCTCACGCCCGCCCCCCTTCCTGCCTGACGCCGCTCACCTTGGCTCGCTGACGAGAGCTGGGTCCCGAGGGCCAGCAGGGCGAGCAGGGCGAGGAGGCGGCCGACTGTCTTCATGGTGCTGCCGAGCTGCGTCTGAGCCCCGTCGGCCAGGCCGGGCGGGCTTTAAAGAGCCAGGCGGGTGGGGCCGACTCCCAGGGGATGTGCCACGGCTTGCCCTGAGCTGGCTCCCGGCGCTGAATTGAATTCCCCTCTGATCCAGCCCCAGAGCCCTGCCCTGCCCTGCCCAGACAGGCCGGTTCCCAGAGTGCAGGGGTGGCGCTGACAGGTGACGCCCGGACACGGGGAAGCCGACCGGGCAGGGACCTTGTCGTGAGGCACGTCCAGTGTCAACACAGACAGGCATCAGGCAGGGTGACAAGGAAGGGCCCTGCAGGAAGCCTGGGCATGGCCTGGGTTCGAGTCCTGCCTTGGGCAAGCCACGGAGCCAGTGTGATAACCATCAGCATGTTGGACTGGGAAGTCCTGAGTTCAAATCTCCAGGGAGCCCCAACAATGACCTTGGGTCAGTAACTCCCTCTTAGCCTAACCGACCTCACAAGACTGTTGTGTAGATAAAATGGAAGAGGGGAGAATCAAGTAAGCCACCCTGAGCGCTTTGGAGGAAATGCGGGATAAAAATGGGCAGATAGACAGACAGACCAGAGAGGCAGTACAGCTGGCAATGCAACCTGTCAATGGCAATACCAAAGGCAATGCAACCTGTCAGTGGCAGTACTGGGTTTGATTCCCCCCTCCTCCACATGCAGCCAGCTGGGTGACCTTGGGTCAGTCACAAGTTCTCTCAGAGCTGTTCTCTCAAGAGCAGTCCTCAAGAGAGCTCTCTCAGCCCCACCCACCTCACAGGGTGTCTGTTGTGGGGAGGGGAAGGGAAAGGAGTTGGTAAGCCACTCTGAGACTCTGAATGAAGGGTGGGGTATAAATCCAATCTCCTCCTCCTCCTCCTCCTCCTCCTCCTCTTCTTCCAAAAGCAGGGCAGAGCCAGAAGGAAGCGTACTGCAGATAGTGAGCTAGGGACAGTATATATTTAGATGCGTTAGGGCATTTGATTTCTTTTCTTTTCACCCTCTTACTGTTATTATTCTGCACCTTGTTGTTTGACCTCCTGTAAAATAAACCTTTTCCTTGTTGTACTCTGCCTGGTCCTCACGCCTATTATTCGGTCAAAAGGGAGGTCTGAAGGTCTTGGGAGGGTGCTCTGGGCCTTCTCAAGGAAACCTAAGTCCAGAGTGGTGGCAGCGTCAGGTGACACCCCCCCACCTGAGTCATGACAAGGGCATAAAGGCCGAGGCCTTCCCTGATGTTGCCGCCTGGGTCTGGGATTCAGAGGATTCGTGCCTCTGAATGTGGAGGTTCCCCTCAGGCACCAGGGCTAGTAGCCACTGACAGACTTATCCTCCATTAATCTATCTAATCCCCCTTCAAAGCTGTTCATTCCTGTGGCCATCGCCACATCCTCCGGCAGTGAATTCCACATTTTAATCACCCTCTGTGTAAAGTCATGTTTCCTTTTGTCCCTCCTGAACCTGCTGCCCAACAGTTTCATTGGGTGCCCTTCAATTCTGGTATTTTGGGAAAGGGAGGGAAAGTTCTCTTGGTTAACTCTCTCCATCCTGTGCATCATTTTATATGCATTTGACACGGTCGACCACCAGTTGCTGGCCCACCGCCTCGCCGACATGGGGATCCAGGGGCTTGCCCTTCAATGGTTTGCCTCTTTTCTCCAAGGTCGGGGACAAAGGGTGGCGATCGGGGATCAGCGGTCCCGAAGGCACCCCCTTGAGTGTGGGGTGCCTCAGGGGGCGGTGCTGTCCCCGATGTTGTTTAATATCTACATGCGCCCCCTTGCCCAGATTGCCCGGAGTTGTGGGCTTGGGTGTCATCAGTATGCAGATGACACCCAGCTCTATCTGATGGTGGGCGGACAGTCGGACTCCGCCCCGGAAGACCTCCATCGGGAGTTACAGGCTGTGGCTGGCTGGCTCAGACTGAGTCGGTTGAAACTAAACCCGGCAAAGACGGAGGTCCTGGGCCTGAGTCGGATCGGTTCGGGGTTGGAGCTCCCTCTCCCGACCTTCAATGGGGCGCCTTTGGTTAGGTGCCAGCGTTGGAGGTTAAGAGTTTGGGTGTGCTCCTGGACTCCTCTTTAATGATGGAGGCCCAGATGGCAGCCACTGCCAAGTCGGCCTTCTACCATCTGAGGCAGGCCCGGCAGTTGGCCCCCTTCCTCGACCGTGATGACCTGGCCACAGTGATCCATCTGATGGTCACCTCGAGGCTAGACTACTGTAACACTCTCTACATGGGGCTGCCTTTGTCGCAAATCCGGAAGCTGCAGCTAGTGCAGAATGCTGCGGCCAGGATGGTGATGGAGGGATCATATGTATTGTACTGCATTTGCATTCTGTTTTTATCTGTTTTAACTTCAACACTATGCCTCGTCTGTTAGCCACCCCGAGCCATTGGGGAAGGGCAAGATATAACCCTAACAAATAAATAAATATAAATAAATAAACCTCTGCCATGTCCCCCCGTAGTCGTCTCTTTTCTCAATTGAAAAGTCCCGGATTCTTCGGCCTTTGCTTATAGGGGAGGAGGTGCCCCAAAGCCTTGGACTTGGACTCAGCCACCTTTTGGCCCTTTGGGAAAGCCTTGTTCACACCAGTGAGTGGACATCTTACTGGGGGGGGCAGTGTTCGATTTGGAGGAAGGATCTGTGCTCCTGGCTAGACCTGCCCCAGCATCCGTGGCTTCAACCTGCACTGTGGCCATGCGTGGCAGTCACCAGAGCCGAACGTTTGGTGGGTCCTTGGCTCCCCTTTCAAATGTGCCTGCCGTGGAAATGACACCTCTGCACATGCACAGAAATGCATCAGCCTTCACCATCGTTGCCCAAAGGAAGGATTAGTCAGTAAAGAATTTCCTGGGGGAAAGGAACGTTTTCCCTTGCCTTTCAGGCTCTGTCTGGCAGCTTGAACATCGGTGGCCTGTTGCATTTTTAAGTTATCAAAATAATAAAGGGATGATTGCACAATGAGCCCACGCTGGCTACTAAAAAATCTTAGTTGCTCGGATCAGGGATTTTTGGGTTTTTTACAGTCCTGTTTTATAAAACTGTTCCTGTTGTTGTTGCTTGCCTTGGGTCCCAGAAGGACTGGGAGAAAGTCGGACATATAAATAGAAAAAAGGAGGAGGAAAAGGAGAGCCAGTTTGGTGTCGTGGTTAAGTGCGCGGACTCTAATCTGGGAGAACCGGGTTTGATTCCCCACTCCTCCTCCACTTGCACCTGCTGGATGACCTTGGGCAAGCCGTAGTTCTGCCAGAGCTGTCCTTGAAAAAGAGCCGCTTTTGTCAAGAGCTCTCTCTGCCCTGCCTACCTCACAGGGTGTCTGTTGTGGGGAGGGGAAGGGGGTTGTCAGCCGCTCTGAGACTCCTTCTGGTAGTGAAGGGCAGGGTATAAATCCCATCTCTTCTTCTTCTCTTAAGTAAATAAAATGAAATTAGCCACATTATCCCTGCCTCATTGGGAACCCTGGGTTTTACAATCCCCAACACCTCCTAGGTGGCTGCCGTGAATCAAATGGATTGACTGTTGCAGTTACGGATGCATTTTCTTTCCAACTGAGTAGCTTGTGGCTTGGCTATCGTCCCTTTTTCAAAGGCGAATGACCCGCCCATGACCCCGGGTGGCAAATCTGGCCCTTCCAGATGCCTGCAGCTGCTTAGCTGCCAAGAGCTCCGGGCACTGAGCCATGAGGAGCTGGCTACTGTTCATGCACAAACAGGAGGGCCCAGCAAGGGATCGGGGAACTTCTGATGCCCCGAGCCAACCCGGGCCCTGGCTGGAGACTGATCCCCCTTACTGCGTGGGCAGGAAAAGCAGCTGCAGCCATGGGCACTGCCAGGCTCATCGCCTGAGACGGGGGCCAACTGAGGACTGCCCGATTCTAGGTGGGGACTGGAGACCTGCTGGAATCACAACTGGTCCCGAGACTGGAGAGATCAGTCACCCTGGAGGACACTGGCTGCTTTGGAGGGTGGACTCCATGGCCTTATATTCAGCTGAGGTCCTTTCTTTCCCCAACCCGGGCTCCACCCTCAAATCTCCAGGAATTTCCCAACCCAGAGCTGGCATCCCTAACCAATGGCAAAAGGCGAAATGAAGTAATCTGAGTCTCAGCCGATGACGAGGTGGCTGCGGTGGCTGAAGGAGACAGGTTCACCTGGGGTGGCATGGCCAGCTCTAGACGGGGAAATACCTGGAGGTTTTGGAGATGAAGGAAGAAGAAGAAGAAGAAGAAGAAGAAGTAGTAGAGGTAGTAGTAGTAGTAGGTGGGACTGAGTAGGTGTGAGGTAGGTGGGGCTGAGGGAGCTCTGACAGAAACTGCTCTTTTTCAAGAACAGCTCAGACCAGAACTACGGCTTGCCCAAGGTCATCCAGCAGGTGCAAGTGGAGGAGTGGGGAATCAAACCCGGTTCTCCCAGATTAGAGTCCTCCATGCACTGAAGAAGAAGAAGAAGAGGAGGAGGAGGAGGAGGAGATTGGATTTATACCCCGCCCTTCACTACCCAAAGGAGTCTCAGAGCGGCCTACAAACTCCTTTCCCTTCCCCTCCCCACAACAGACACCCTGTGAGGCAGGTGGGGCTGAGAGAGCTCTTGACAGAAACGGCTCTTTTTCAAGAACAGCTCTTATCAGAACTATGGCTTGCCCAAGGTCATCCAGCAGGTGCAAGTGGAGGAGTGGGGAATCAAACCTGGTTCTCCCAGATTAGAGTCCGCACTGCACTGAAGAAGAAGAAGAAGAGGAGGAGGAGGAGGAGGAGATTGGATTTATACCCCGCCCTTCACTACCCAAAGGAGTCTCAGAGCGGCCTACAAACTCCTTTCCCTTCCCCTCCCCACAACAGACACCCTGTGAGGCAGGTGGGGCTGAGAGAGCTCTTGACAGAAACGGCTCTTTTTCAAGAACAGCTCTTATCAGAACTATGGCTTGCCCAAGGTCATCCAGCAGGTGCAAGTGGAGGAGTGGGGAATCAAACCTGGTTCTCCCAGATTAGAGTCCGCA